GGTCTGACAGGAAGTTCTTCAATAACACAGAGAGACACTCACTGTAAAGGTTGCTCGGCTCACGCTGCTTGTCGTCGACTTGTTGTGGGCCGACCTCGGTTGAAACGGACACGGTGACATGCACAGAGCCTGCCACGGCCGCTCCGGACATGAGCGCAGGCGGCCGGTGGCGAGGGAAACACCGGCCACTGAAGTCGAAGGCGCTCCTCGGAGCCGGCATCAGGTGACGTCCGAGTCCGGGCCCGCACCAGGAAGCCTGGTTCAGCTGGGCGCCTTGGTGGGGTCTGACAACAGAAGGACGACAGAGGCCATCTTGCCCCGGCCGGAAGTCAGCCTCCCTGTCTGCTGCTCCTAATCACCGTCGGCTGCGAAACCTCCCGGCACCGTCAGCGATGACGCACATCCGGCAGGTCTCGCCCAGTCGCGCGGCGTGTCCCCCCGCCCGCGCAAGTACCGAGGGATGGCAGGGAACGGGGGCACGAACATCTTCCTAAATGACGATAAGAACAGCCCCCGCAGCACCCCGCAAACATCTTTTCGCCCTCTCCAGGCCCGCAATATTGCAAGGTCGAAGGGAGAGATCATTGTACTTGGTCGACACACTGCCACCGAGGGGAAGCAATGGTCCCCAAAAGCAGATTTAGGCCGGGTCCTCATTGTATCTGGACTCGGCTGCCTGTGTACATTAACCGACCTACCGCACGGTGGGAGGCACAAGTTGGAAGGCAGGCCACGCGGTGCTACCAAAAAAATTAGATGGCGCCCTGCGTACGCGAACTGAAGTCGCCGGGAACTGAGCCAGCGACTCTCCGCTGCCAGTGGTGGCTGCACCAGGAGCCGGGCCGGGGACTGCGAAAACAACTAACTCCGTAGTGTCTTCGAGCTGCACGCATCCCTAGCAAAGCGCACGGAACCAGGTAGCTAAAAAGTGTGTTGTGTCATTCTTCTAACGCAAAGCCGTTACTCTCGGAAATCAGCAAAAGCCCAAACGTGTCAGCAAAACCAATCTATCCAGAAGAAAACCCTCGCGCCAACCACAATACAAGTGGCGTAGAGCGTGCGCGGCCACAGTATGAAAACTGCTTCTGGACACCGGCGGATGCGTGGCCTACGGCTCCCGGAGGCCATCGGTTGCACTACGAGCTACTTCGTGACGTTAATGGCAGACGCACCACCCGACTCTCTCGGAGAGTCCGACAACTCAGTCTCAAAGAAACGCGCATGTTTACAAACCCAGATTGTCCCGCTGACCCGTAAGAAGTTCTTTGCTCCTATCAGCATTTGTCGCGAGGCCCACGTGGGTCAACGTAACGCGATTTCCGTGGCAAGGAGGTTCTGAGGACGCCGCGAGAGGCGACGACTCTCTAACTAGGGGGGGGGGGGAGGGGGGGGGGGTTGCAGTGGAGTCGGCAACTGTCAGGGAGTGGGGTGACTTTCTAGCGACACCCATCACCAGAGGCGACAGGTACAATAAAACGTCTCCTGCGGCAGGACACGAAAAGAGAATGAACAAATCGTGATTCACTCCGGTTTCCGGGCTGGCTCTTGGACGTAGTTCCCAAACCCGGGCACCGATGGGATTCACATCATGGCGGCTCACAAAGGGAGCCGGCCTCCCCAAGAGAGGCTCCGCCATCTTGGTATGGCGCGGCGGAGCAGTGCCACGACAGCAATGGGTGCCATGGCCGCACGTTGGGCGCCATTTTATGGGAATAAAGGGAGGGAGGATTACGCACCTTTACGTCTGGGGACCTGTCCGGTCAAAGTGGAAATTCGATTTCAGTCCCACCGCGCGGCCGACGGCTACAAGCGAGGGCGGTCGCCGAGCCGGGTTCGGCCAATGCTTTGCCAACAACGATGATCCCGGTATCCAACAGTTTATTGAGTGCCAGGGGTCCCCAACAAGACACTGCGGTCAAGCGAGCCATGGACACAGTGTGCCCGCAGCGCCCGTTGACCTGAGAGCCAAAGCGGTAATTGAGAGCGGAGTCATCGTCGGTTGGACGATCTCACGCCGCTACTCGTCTTCGCAGGAGTTCGGGGGCAGGGCACTCGGCAGACAGACGTCCAGAGGTAGTGGGGACGCCGACTGTCAGAGCCAGGAGAATCACTAGTGTGGAGTCATCGCCGGTCGGACGAGCTCGAACCTCGACTAGACCCGTTGCCCGGAGTCCAATCCAGGACTCCTCGATCATGCACACGGCCGTCCACTTGAAGGGCAGGCCCGACCCTCCCTTGCGCGATCTCCCTGGTCCGCCCGAAACGGGAGACGCGCGGAGGAGTGCGAGAAAGTAGGCCAGCAAGGTGACGCACTCTCTCCAACACGATACGGGACGAGCCAGCTCGAAGTCAGACAACTCCGGCCGGCGCGTCCTCGGCTAACGCCTTCTCGGGGGAGGGGAACTAGTGGCTCTCACAACAGGATTTCGCTTTTTTGTTGTTCCGTATACTTGAGGCTGGTGTGTCAGCAGAACTTCAGCCAAACATGTTAAGCTTTGCTATAAAGATATATCACCCGAATATTTATCAATAGAATAATAACTGAAAAGATAACAGCACAAGCCCCTGTCAGAAAAGCGTGCCCGCTCTGGCCACTAATTTTCTCGCTACACACTCCGCGTGATGCGACCGGCGCGCCTCTGCGTGGCCGTTACCGAAGGTAGGCAGTGAGAACCCCAGCGAAGCGACACCATGCACGCCGCGTACATTGGTACGCATTGAATTCTGAGCAGTCCGGTTGCGCTGGGTGGTTGAACTACTGCGTCGTCAAGTGCTCTAATACTTTTGCGTCGTGTCTCGTGGGGACAAAGTTTCGTAGTTTTTCAACTGGCCGATGATTTGTGGGACAGCGAACACTATATACCCGTGCCGTACAACGCCGGAAATTTGGTCTCCCGACCATGTCTGCTACTGTGTCGGGACGGCTGACATATTCTACGCTGCCGCTTTGCGCTCCGTAATAGTTTTAATACGTTAGCATCAGAATGCACGTCTTGACCAAAACCTCGGTGTATCTTTCATTATTCAGAGCCGTGGAGAGATGGAGAAGGAGGAGGAGAGAGCTTCGCGAAAGGTTTATTTGCTGCAATTTATCAGCAAAACAATATAAGAGTATCTTTGAGTTTCTATAAAAATTCCCAGGAAACAGCTCATTCCCACCAGATTGTTTTCTCAGCTTCGTGCACTCGGTGCCACTGTCGTCATTGCTTCTGAGGCCGGTTGCAAAAAAAAAAAAAGTATTAAAGGCCTCAGCCGCACCAAAAGCGAAAAGCAAAAAAAAAAAAGAAAACTATATATACATATATATATCAGGGATGGGCAAAATACATGCAAATATGTATCGAAATACAAATACAAAATACTTCGTCAAAAATGTATTCAATTACAAATCTAATTACATTTCCAAAAAAGCATTTAAATACAAAATACAAATACAACCAAATGTATTTGGTCTCCTCCAAATACTTTTCCAAATACATTCCTAAAAATTTGCGTCAGCGACTTCAGGGCACCGGCAACGGGTTTCTGAGTATCTCATTTTAATTTTGCATCGCACACTCGGGAGTTAGTGTGCGAGGCTCTATTACCGTAATAGAAATATAATCACAAAAAAAATGCAATCAGCTTGGACGTAATAGGTGAAAAAAGTAGTTTCAAGCAGCTTTTTTTGTCGATTACATTTTGGTAGAGACCAACAAAGAACCGAGACGACCAAGGCGCAGCACTAGCCAGAGAATTTTTTATTGTTGCAACTCGCACCAGTTACAAAAATCTGGGCGACCCGCGCATTTAGAATATTCCAGGCAAAAATATGGATGGAAATCAGGCTGGAAAGCATCACAAGTTGTCACAGGCACTTATTTAGCCAGCCTGCCTGTGAACGTCGATTACGTCACTATTCTTGCCCTCGACTAGCACCGTAATCACAGTCACTAAACGCTTGTGCTTGATTGAGAGACACTGCATTCGGTGCAGAACGTAGTTTTCTTCCTGCTCTGGACAGTGCCTTTAAAAGCCCCATGGTCAAATAAAGGATGGAGACTATATCTTACAACCACATGCATAAAAACAAGAATTGTAACTTTGGCAATAACATTTATTTAACATAATAGAGGCAAGTGCAACATTAAAGAGGAGACCTTCTCAATACAGTGTAATTTTGGTGCGTGCTAATCAAGTTTCGACTAGTAAGACTTCAGCAGCAGAAGCTTTTCGAACAACGTGTCGCTGAGACGACGCCTGTTGGGGCAAAGAATAAGGCTGCCAAGGGAAAATAGGCGCTCTACGGGGGCAGACGAACTTAAGTTTGTATTGTACCTCAAAAAGACGCGTTTCACAGCAGGGTACTCATGCAGCATTGTGATCGAGGTGCGCGTGTCCTGCAAGTAACGGAACACCTCAAAACGTACGCTGAATGCGCTCGACGTCGCGGTCGAGGGAGTGTGACCCGCAAAGTTAAAGAATGCGTCGCTTTCATCGGGTTGTGGCGCACAGTTCCCAGTAGACCCTGTAGACAGATCCTGCGCAGCCTGCACAAGGAGATCGCTGATGTCATGCGAACCATCGCGTGGCATCCAACGGGTCTTAAAATACGGGTGACTACAAGAAGCGATAATGGCTGGCTTGTCACCCAGGCACAACCACCTCTGGAAACGTCTCTCCAGACTGTCCAGGGCAGCCTGTGCGATCTTTTCCGTGTGCGGACTTTGTAAATTTTCCCGAACTTGTTCCAGCTTCGCTCGGACCGTGAACAACACCGGAAGCAACTCGCCGTAGTAACCACTGTTGCTGCTTCCTTGCAGGCGATCAAGCTCTGAAATTAATGAGTGAACTGTGAGTACAATGAACTAGTATGCGCGACATAAAATGAAAGAGGTGAAGGCACGCACGTTATAAAGCAATTATTGTCCACGTTATGTATATTACTTTGTGGCATACAAAATTAAAGCAGCGTGCAAGACAGGACGCACTCGTCCTGTGTGGTTCTTTTTTTAGGTCCTTTCTTTTTTGCGCACTGTTTTTAATTTATTAGGTCATGAACCAACTCGCCTGCGTTGCTGCTTTATTTCGCTTTGTGGCAGGCTATTATTCATATCATAAATTTCGAGCTAATTAGGTTGTTGAGCATTACACACTATCTACCTGTAGCAATTGGCTTGAGTATGGTACAATATTCCTCAATAAACTCAATCTCCGAGGACTTCAAGGAGGGTAGCTGGAGCTCGTTCGAGAGGTCTTGTAATTTCTCCTTGTTCTGGGTGAGGACGTCCAAGGCGTGGTGCAGAGAGTTCCAGCGAGTGATGCAAGGGGCTGGTAGTTGCTTGCCAAGGATAGATGTAACGACTTCCGCTGATTTTGGCCGACCCGAGGCGCCCCAGTATTTCGAGCACTTACTCATGACGCTGGAATGGAGGCGGTTCAAAGCATGGTTCGCACTGATAGCTTTCTTGACGTCCGCCGTTGCGATTAAACTGAGCGTGTGACAGGCGCACCGCAGGTGCTGTGACAAAAGCGGGCCTGGGGGCTCGATCTCCTCAAACGTGACGAGCTCAAAATCCTCGGAATCTGTTAAAAAAAAAATCCAGGCACAATATAGTTTGGTTGTAAAAGGTCTAAACTCTCAACTCTTAGAGCTTGCCTATACCTGCAGCACACGCTTCTTCGAAGGCCGTTACGCCAAATTCCTTGAATGCCTTCACAAAATTTGTTGCGTTATCCGTGACCGTGCCAGTAATCTTTCCTGTAGGCAGGCAGTAGTCTGTGCAAACGTCCGAGAGCAACTCGGCGACTCTGTCGTAAGAGTGGGTGCCAGCAAATCTCCTACAGGCAAGTGCGGCGGATTGTCGTTCTAGTGTCGCTTCCGATATCTGCAACCAAATCCGGTCGAAGAGGCTATAATAATGCGGTATAAAAATTATTTTACAGAACACAGGCCAGGTGGCCGCATATTTAAGAAAAAGTATGACAAGATAAATAGTGAATACCCAGTGGGCCGTCACACCCAGGTAGCTCTTAGTTGACGTTGACCACACATCGGCCGTAAGACACACGTACAGCGGCATTTTAAGTGCCGCCCTAACTCTTTCGAGATGGGCATCGTAGTCAGAGTCGACTCTGCGACCCAGAGTTCTTCTCGACATGACATTTATGGTTGCTGGGCAAGTACCTAAAAGGAAGTATAAAAATATGCCAAACAAAACAAAACTAAAATTCGATGACATAATCAGTCTACAATAACTAAAATATGCCAAACAAAACTAAAATACGATGACATAATCACTCTACAATAACTAAAATACACAAGCCAAGCTGAAGGCCATAAAAACGCACCTCTGACGAAGGCCACAAACTCTGGCTGCTCGACGAAGGTCAAAGGAAGCATCCCTTTCACAATCAGATCCGTCAATAAACTGTCGAACTTGGTCTGCGTGACCACGGGAGCACTTGGGACAGTCGCAAGCACGAGCCTCGTTTGCTTGAGAGCTGGTTCTGGGCCAGCGGTGCATTGTCTCTTTTTTTGGTTCGGATCACGCCGCACGTGCTCATCGTACTCGACAAGAACGAGAGGATGAATACGCTAGGCCAAATAAACAGAATTATAATAATGATAAGGTAAAAACAGTGACCCAAAATAAAAAGCTCAAGATCTAAATGAAAATTAGGATACCTTCAAATGTGTCCTAAAGTTGGAAGTTGCCGACCGTGACCCTGAAATAGTCTTTTGGCATGACTGGCAGATGGCCTTTACGTGCTTGTCTTCTTCCGCAATGACCTTAAAAAATTTTCCATCAAGGATATTCGGATTTTTCGCCTCTGACGACGTTGACGATGAATCAGCCATGCCCTGTCCCTGTATGTGTAGAAAAAGGCCTTTTGTGTATAAAACTAACATGGGGCGGTCTTTCAAAGACGACAGAACGTCATATGATATCGCTTTTACTTCTGCTGACGAACTGTCAGTCCGGTATTAACACCGAGAACGAACACAAGCGTCGCCATTTTTCCAGCTGATTGGACGATGTTCTTTTCTCATGTCACGGCAAAGGTGCTATCGCAAAAGGAGGGGGTCCATATCACATGAGCGAATGACATTTTAGTGAACAGCGACATTTGAGCGAACCGACGTTTTAGCGAATAACGGGGGCGCGCGTTAACCCATCCGCCGCGCTGCGCTTTACGCCGCTTTGTGGCGACAGTCTGCGGCGGCTCATTACAAAAATGTGAACCCACTTGTCCCACCCGTAAACGCCGCTTCGCGGCGGCCGACTGTTCGCTAAAGTGTCATTCGGTGAAACGTGGGCGTTCGCTAAAACGTCATTCGATCAAGTGAGTGCCTCCCCCGCGGGGTCGACTTTGTTTCACGTTCAGTCAGAGCGCATCGAACCCTGCGGGCCATCCCAGCCAACCCAGCGCCGGCAGAGTATCACGTGACCTTACGGTTGGGACGAGCGACACGCGGAGCTCAAGGCCTCTTCACGCGCTCTCAACGCTGGATTGGGTGGGATGGCGCGTAGTTCCGCTGCGCTCCGACCAAAACGCAGTATTCGCCTCAAGATCGAACCGTCACGCGCACGGTGCCTCAATTTGCACTCAATTGGAGCACAGTGAAGGCTACAGACGCGTGGTCGAAGCTCAAAAAGGCGCTAATTTAGCGTCTAGCTAAACGCAGCGTCTCAAGCCAAGATCTCGCGTCTCTAGCGTTGCTTGTGGTTCACGTTGAAAGCGGGGACGGTTGTGGTCATCTGCTCTGCGTTCACGAGAGAATGCCCATAGGAAACCATGTATAAACAAAAGCACATGTCCCCGCTTTAGAAACTGGACCTCGAGGCGAATAGCGCGGGTTGACTAAAAAGAAAAACAAAAACGAAATCTATAGACGGACGCCGCAAAACGCTGTCAAAAGAAGCAATGTATTAATTAGCAACCTCTTTTTTTTTCTCTTCTTCTTCTTCTTTTTTTGCGAAATCAGCTCTGTCCTTTCACCCAAACCACGCTGTCAACCAGGGAGATGATAACGGCATTTCACTTGCGTCGACGGGCTGCCCCCCCGTGCGGTCCACATGGACTGGCAGTCACACCAGCTCTAGTTCTTTAGCAACTCACCAAGCAAGCGCTCCTCGAAGAAGAAAGAGAAAGAAAGAAAAAAAAACAAAAAAAACGCAGGCTTGCGTGATGTTGTTAAGTAGTTTCACGACAGCACATCAGTTTGGCTCACATACATCAATTTTGCTCACAAGATATTAAGATTGCGGAAATAAAACTAAATGAAATTAAACACAAACCAAAAAGTCGTTTCGAAGTTATCAGCAGCCAATCCGCAATCGTGCAAACGGTCAGTACGGGAACATTTTTTTTACTGCGGCGTATCTTACTGAGGCGTAGAGGCCGGCAACCTGTCAGAGGGAAGGGGTAACTACTAGGACTTGGGTTTCTAAGAAGGCCACGCGTTCCAGCTGTACGAATCTTTGCGAAATGTCTACACTTCGAAAAAGCAATGAATTCACGAGTTAGGATATTCGCAACCCCAACTATGTGCTCTTTTAAACTCGCTCCTCTGTTTCAAGTTTCGTTCCCTAGGCTGCGCCAGCTTTCGCTGCGCATTCCAATCGCCGCGAGCTCTTCGTTTCAACGCGTCATGTATCGACCACTAGATAGCGGCGACTTCTTTGGATTTGCGAATAGGAAACCAACCACTAAGCGCCATCAACCACTTAGCGCCGCTCTGAAAACTTACCCTTCCGTCGAGCTCCCGCGAAGAAAAGCGTGCACTGTGACAAGCGCCCCACTCATCCGAACGAATCTCGTGGCAGGAGGCACTAGCACTAACACTGTTGCATGTCAGAAAACGTGGAAGTCCTTTGCAAAATCAACAAATAAAGAAAAGAAAAAAGCCCCCTCACCATTTCTAGACACCCTGGACTTCCAAGCCCCTAGCCTCCATGGCTTCGGTCATCGAGAACGTTGTATTGTGCTATTTGCTTTTCGTGTGCTCTATCGGCTCTGGGCGCGCGCGCGTGTGTGTGTGTGTAGAAAAAAGAGCGGGAGGGGGGGAAGGGGGGAGAGGGGGAGGGAGCAAGGAGTCTGTTTCTGCAAGGATGGCTCGTCTCCGGCTCCCTTTTGCACGAGGCGTTCGATTCCGATCTCCCTGACAGTGCACAGACGGCGCCCTCAGGTCGGGGTCCCGGGCAGGCGTGCAGCAGCAGCAGGCTGGCAGTTTCAACAGTTTCAACCACTGTGGTTTCAAGGTCTCAACTATGGCTATGCTTGCCCGCCGTGCCCGGGCGCCCGCGGTGAGCTGCGAGCGAGACGAGAAACAGGACTGGTGTATGAAAAGATAAAGAGTTTCTTGGTTTGTTGTTGCCGTTGACGTTGAGATGAAGAAAGAGCAGCTTAGGACACGTCTTAGGATGAGCAAAACGAGTCGTAACAATGAATTTGAGAAATGTATTTTCGCGCACAAAATTGTATTTAATTACAATTGTATTTCAAATACCCGCGTTTTAGTATTTAAATACACACGTCAAATACATTACCCGATTTGTAATTAAATACAAATGCAAAATACACAAAGTATTTGAAATACGTATTTCAAATACTTGTATTTGAAATACTGCCCATCCCTGATATATATATATATATACATATATATATATGTATATATATATTCAACAACGTAAAATTATGGCCCTTTGAACTCGATCACACTTCACGAGATGTTTAACGATAGTGACTTCTTCCTTTGGTATTAAAGTGCGGAAGGTGGTGGTACAATTTCATGAAAAAGTGGGCAGGCTTGCGTAAGACAAAACGTGTTTATACTGACAGATGTAAGATCAAGTTTCGTGTGCAATTAGATCTGTATGCGCCTATCTCGCTCAGTCACACCCTTTGTCTGTCTGTGTGCGTATGAGCACACGTATACAAGTTTTTGTTTGTTTCGTGCGCATTATAATATGCTTTCATTAGATACCACGTAATTAACGAAAGAAGTGGAACATAGATACATAGCTCACCCCTCTGATTAGCGCAGAAGAGCACCGCATTTTTCTCGTGTTCAGGATGCTATATCTTAATTTGCCGGATGATTTTATTGTAATTATTATGTATTTATTGTATTAGTATTGCGGGAAATAATTTTTGTGAAAAAGGTGTTTTCATAGCAAATTATCATTATGATATTGGTGTGGCTTAAATCTCGATTTAAATCATCTTGATTTTTTTCGCCTCCCTGAACTCAATGAATTTGGGGTATATGAATTTCAGGGTGTAAATGCCCTGCCAATTTGGTAGAATGAATGCAGTGATTGCACCTAGAAACCGGGAAGGTTTCTCGTCAGAAGCCAGCTGCAGTGTGACCGATAAAAGGTGTAAAATTTATTTCTTGGTATATATAAAAAGCGGAGGACAGCTAAACGACATGATTAGCTCTGCCCTAGCACTCATGCAAAGTTACCCGCAACGTATCGGCACAAAAAGCCAAAGTTCCGCCCGTAACCGCTTCCGCCGCCACAGCTTCGCACGCGAAAAGGCGCCGCAGGCTGCTGAATGCGTCTCACTGTCAAACGCCAGCTCCTTTGTTACGCTCGCGACGCGCGTTTTTCAAAGCGCCCCCTATAGTTCCCGCACGGAGCGTATATCTTGAGCCTCTATGCAGAAGGATTATTAACGATAATATAATTATGTGAGTGTTCCTTAGTAGATATACCACGAAAATATTTGCATACGCAGATGACGTGACAGTTGATGCTGCGTCAAGACATGAAGCGTTCCTCGCAGTACAAAACTTCGTTCATTTTCGTGAAGTGTCTTGGGTCCATGTGAATCACGAGAAATCTGCTGGCTCATGGCTATAAAATTTGTATAAAAAGCCAGAGCATTTTATATTATTACCTGGAGCCCAAGTATCCCAAACTGCCTTGGTGTAAGACCAAAACACCACCATTTAAGTACTGGCAGTGGTGGAGTTCATCTCAACAGTTTGAGCTCCAAAGTGCTTGTCTAGCGCGGGAGAAACCTTTCTATGCTGAACGGTGTCTTTATTTGCAACTTTTTTTCACTCTAT